CTTTTTTCAGTGTTGCACAGGTATGGTTTGGGTTTTTTTTCCAGGTAAGCCAGTATATTTCCCTAAGTATGCTAACCCAGGTGCTGTGGTAGGAATCAGGATGGATAATATACGTAGACCAGGGAGCTTGAAGATGGTCCTTGTGTGTCTGCTGTCATAATGCAGCTTTTATGTCTTTTGTCCCTGAAGCTGAGCTGCACTTTCCACACTGTATGATGGTGTGCATGCAGAGGACACAGCTGTAGGTGAAGGGAGTATGATCATGCAAAGGTTACTTGAGAATGCTAACTTTTATGGGTGATGGGGTGATGGAAAAAGAGCTTTTCTTCCAGCCTTCCTGTGCCCTTTTCTATCTGCAGAACCACCAGCAAACCTCACTGGTCTAGAAGGAGTGGAGATGAGCTACCACTTGCAGTTCCTCATCTCAGGGGTTCAAAGAGCTGTTTCTCAACCTTCTTTGTGTATCCTTAGCATCCCTTCCGCTCTGGGCACTTCCTGCTGAATAGAAGCTATTCAGCTGTTTTTCTGTTTTCATGTACTAAATTCACTTCTAGCTGTTGTGAAAGAAGGAAGTGAGTAGACAGAGTTAATAATCCCCTGTGGTGTGACAGTGGGAAAGGACTGGAAAGACATGAACTTGCTCATTCTGCTCTTTATGAAGACAGACTTTTTTTCTTCATGTCACGTATGAAATTTTTAAGAGGCTAAGTCAGCAGATACACATAAGCTTCAATGACATGAAATTGTACAGCTTAAGAACCTGTCTCTGAGACTGTCAACACTGAAAACTCACATTGCGACAGAGCTCCAATAGTCAGAAAATGTTATTTCCTTTTCCCCATGTGTCACCCTCAGTAGTTTGGTCTTTGGTAAATGTCAGGTGTGGGGGCTAATTCTGTGCTTCCTGACTCTCATGCTTTAACCAACTTGAGACATGGCTGCTGGTGTAGTTTTTTATCATGTGCTAACATTAACACACTGATAAATGGAGGGAGCATAGTGCACACTTACAGACTTGCCCTAAATACTGTAGGCAATTGTAATCTTTTGGCTGATAATGCAGTCCATAAGGAATAAAGGTAAAAAGTGTAGATTTACAATGGCAATGAGACCAGGGAGTGCTCTGCTCTATCAAGAAACTTCAGGACCTCTCTGTTCTGGTGAGGGAGGGAAATGAGGATTAAGGTCAAAGATTTGGTTGTCCACCTAATATGACAAATAGAAACAAGTACGCTTTGTTAATAAGCACTATGGCTTCCTTGACAGTTCTGCTTGCTGGAGTTCTTTGCTTTTCCAGGAGCCAGCAATACCTACTAGTGATGTTCCCCGCTGCCAGAGCTTTTCTAATGGCAGAGACTTGGGATGATCCAGTGGAGTGAGATCACTTAAATGGCTGGTTTCTGGACGCTGTAATATTGCATGTGCTCCCACAGCTAAATAAAGGAGATCTGCTGATGGTTTTCATTCCCTAGCTCAGCTCCAGGCAACACTCCCTGCAAAGAAATGAAGCACTTGGGTGCTGCCTTACAACTCATGAAAATGGTGCCATCCCACTCCCCAGCGGAACAGACAGTAAATGGCAAGAGGTAGCCCTGCACTAGAGCAGTGTCTGGGTTTAGCTACAGCCCAGGCAGTAGCATGGTTTGCATTCCTACTTACACAGTGACCCCAGAAGTCCAGGCCTGGCTTGAGGGAGGCTGTAAGTACAAGGCAGACTTGCAACTGCTGTGCCTGAAAAGCAGAATCAAAGGCTGCTTTTCCCTGTGGGAACCTTCCCCCGGCTTGAGACAGTTCACCTGGGATAAAAACTGTTGGCAGCTACGGGACTTCAAATTTATTTCCTTCCTTTTAACAACTTCCCTCTAAACACACTGGTTTGCCACCAGTAACTTCACAGTCCAGACCTTTCAGAAAACACTACCAAGTCCTTCCCAGTCTCACTGGCAGCATGCGTGCCAAGAAACGCAGCCAGCTCTCCCCTGGCAGCACTCCTCCCCGGCAGGCTGACCAGACAATAAACGGGGCTGCTCCCTGACCTCCACCAGCAGCCATGTCCTGGGATGACTGGCTGTGTCATGCACACTCTGTCAGGCAGCACTGCAATACATTCTCTTTGCTGGGAAAGCATCCAGAGTGTGTCCAGGAGCACTCACTGCCCCCACTAAGAGGGTCAGGATGTCTGTGTTGCTCCCCTGTAAGTCCCGCTGGCGCCCTTGTCACCACGCTGTCATGGCCACCGCAGCCATGTGCACGTCCTGAGTTCAGCATGGGTTGTATCCTATTTCCCAGCACGGTTTGCAGTACTTCCACTGCGCTGCCTCTTCAACTGCTTGGTGCCACGAGGGAGAGGATGGATGGACACCCTTTTGGTGTGCAGCAGCTGATGACTAGCCTCACATTTCCTTGACCTCCACACGAACTGCAGATGTGCTCTGTAAGCCCCAGAAGACAGACTCGCAGCTTACCCACCTGCTTATGCCCTGGTGAGAGGTGGTTTGGTTTTGCCTCAGTCCCCACTACGGTGTTTCCCATACACACCAGCGCAGCCCTGTGCTCGCCACTGCTCAGGGCTTTTCCAGGCTGTGCCTCGGGTTGGGGAATGTACCACAACGGTGTAAAACGAGTGGTCTGAAGCAAAAACCTGCACGCCGGGCACCGGGTGGGCTGCTGCCCCACCTCTCCAGGCGAGGGGCGGCGGTACCAAAACCTCTCCCTTTTGAATTCAGAGGATTACACCCGAGTTAAACGTGTTCTGAGGAAAACCTGACAGGAAACAGCTTTCAGATGAACCCTCCTTTCCCCCCACCCCATTGTCTGTGTATTTTCCTCCCTCTTGTCTTCCTCCCCACACGCCGCCGCGTCCCAGTCCAGCCGCGCCAGGGGCGGACTCATTGCCCGCGCAGACTCTGTCGCCGGCCCGGGGCCGCTGCCGGGAGGCGTCGCTGGGTCCGTATCAGCCTGGGCTTCGCCGTTCCCCACCTTTCTCGGCCCCGCAGTGCCGGTGCCGTGCTCGGGGCACCCCCCGCCCGGGCGCAGCCAAGATGGCCCTGCCCGCTTCATTTAGACATGGCGGCATCGGAGCCGGGGAGCCCTGCCTGGGCTCGTCTTCCGGCAGCCGGTGGAGGGCTGTGGGGACACGGGCCGGGCAGCGTTTGCGTGCTTTTGGCGTTCCCCTTACTCTTTTCCACAGTGTTTTGATGTCCGTGGGGTGCTGCAGCCTACTTTCGTCCTCGGAAAGTGGGGGGGTGGCAGCCATGGTGAGGCAGAGGGGAGCTCTGGCTTGTGGGGCTCACACCAGGCCTGGGAGGGGGTTGCTTTTGTTTCCCTTTGCAGTGAAGCAACTGGCTGTAGAAATAGTGCTTGTTGAAATAATGTGTGTCTCTGCCTGCAGGAAGGGGAAGGAAACGTGACTGGGAGGAACAGAAACCCCTGCACGCCCCAAAGCCAGCTGAGAGGGACAGCCGGTAAGGCCAGCGCCTTGCGCCCATCAGCATGCCCGTCACGCATCTCATGTTGTGCCTTGTGTTTGCACCAAGGACAGGCAATGTGCATTTGGGAATTCCCAGTAGTAGTACAGTGCAACCAGTTGATGGTGGCTCAGAGAAAAATCCAGTACTTTTCCTCCTGTGCCTTTCCAGTACTTTTCCGCATTCCAGGGAGCTGGGATTGACAAAATCCATACTCCTGAAAGTATGTTTTTCCTTGTTGCTCGATAAAAATAATGAGGTAATAGCAGAGGGTGGGAAACAGGATTTGGATTTCATGGGCCTGTGGTTTGCTCCACATGCTGGGTTAGGTGGCCTTCTTTAAAGCTCATTTCCTGGTTGGGGTTTGACGCAGCACAGGCTATCAGTGTTGGTGTCAAAGCACCGCTAGATAAACCTGTTTGGGAAATACCTGCTCCTCCGCAAGAGGGAGGGAAGGGTGCCAGCTGTAATTCACTTCTCTCCTTCATGGGTTTTGAATAAACAGCCCATCTGGCACCTCCTTACAAATAAAGTCTTGGCTTTATTTCTGGAGTGTACCAGCCCCTTTCCAGGAGGTCTCGGTTGCTGTCAGAAGGTTCAAGGGCATTACTGGATGTGCTTTGCTGATTCCTAGAAAAAAATTTTCTCTGTACCAGACCCAACAAACAGTGGTATATGTGGTGACTGACTGTTGACATCGGCTGGCATATGTACTTTGAAAGGTCACAGTATCCATCAGCCCGATCAGCTGATGCAAAGCATGTAACTGACCTGTTTGTTTCATTCCAGTGAGCTGGGATTGACAAACCGTGAAGGAAGGAGTAACACACTGTGCTTCCAGACCCTGTCCAAGGGGAGTGCTGCTGCATTTGTACTGTTCCTAGGTATGGCACAGAGGTAATGGTGTGTCTCTTTCTTATGCCTGAAGGCCAAGGGCTGAGCTGAGGTCTTGCTTATCCTCACCACTCAAACCTCACCATCAGTTTTGGGACTAGGGCTGCTGTATGCTTCATTTAGGAGGATTGGAGGGAGTTGAGCTAAGGAGTTTTTGTTTTTGTTTTCCTCCCCAAAAAAGGGTGGTTTGTTTTATCAGAACCTGGTTGTCCCATGGCTGCACATGTTAGCCCTGTTGTGGCACTACAAAGAAGGAGGCCAGCATGGGCAGCTGGCATAGGACCACAGTGGCCCATATCAGTGACAGCCTTAGGTTGCTGTGGTACCCCACCAGGAGCTCCTCTTGCTATAATCTTCTGCTTGCTCTTGGATAGGATTGGCTGGGGGTTTGGTGTGGGTTTTATTCACAGGCCAAGAACTGAAGTAGGCAGTTTTGTTCTCTAAAATATCCTTGTACTTAAAAAGTACCACAAATCATGAAACTTTCCTCAAATACTGTTTTCTCCTTATGTTCCTTAATGCACAGATCATCTGTGGTTTAGGATATGAAGAGGAATGGAGGAGAAACTTTCCTTTGCAATGACTGTTGGAGGCAGAGGGTTGTGTACTTAAATTATTTTTAACCTCCTTCATCTTTCTGTGAATGCATGGGTCTTGCTTGTCCCTCCAAGGCAAGGCAGCTGGTGTCCTCCCTATCACAGCCAACATCTCCACGCTGTTCATTAGCAAGTATCATTTCATCATTTGCAAAGGTCAGAGCTGTGTCTTGCCTACAAGTTTAATCAACACAAAAGCACCTAAAGAATGGTGGGTTAAAAGAATAATATTCTACAAGGGGGTATGTACTTCATTTTTCAGTACTAATCCCTTCTAGGGATTTCCTTGGTCCCTGTGGCTGTAGCATTCTTCACTGACAATATCCCTGACATAAGTGTGTTGCCTTCTTCATTTTATAGAAGAGGAGATTAATGTGAGCCTGCAGTGTCCAAGCCATTGCCTGACCGCTAGATCTGGTTCTGTCACTCTTTACAAAAATAGCAGAAAGATACAGGTGGTGGAGGGGGCAGCACAAATAGCCACAACTTTTTTTTTTTTTAATGGCATATAAGCAGACAAAACAGACAAAGGAAAAAACTTGCACAAATCTCTTGGAGTCTCTGTAAGGGCTGGGAATTAAATTCACTTTTCACAAGAAACACTCTTGTTCTGTCCATGTTTTTTCCCCTCACATGGAAACTGAGGGTGTTTGGGGCTCTTTTGCATCTCTCCTTGAGAGCCCCTCTTACTGAGTCAGTACTAATCATGGTTCAGCCGGAGGATTCCTACTTCCTGTTTGTTAATTCTGTGAGCTCCTGCCCAATCAAGTTTTTGCCTTTCGCTTCTCTCCTGCCCCAGACACTTGTGTGGCTGTGCTTGAAGCTGCTGGCCTGGAGCACTTCCATTTCATCCTCTCCAAAAGAGTTGCCTATCCACTGGCCCTGGGTAGCACCAGGCCTGTCCTGCTGTCTGCTCAGCTGTGTGTTCTTGCCTTCTGCAGTGGTGGACTGGTTGAGGGAGCTCAAGAAGAGGGTGTTGGGATGTGGGGGGGTTTCAGCCACAGCTTTCCAAAGTGCTGTGCACAGGGCATGCAACACAGCTGCCCTGGTGTCTCCACACCAGGGAATCCTTGCCGTGCATGTGAGACTGAGAGTACCAAGTCTTAAGATGCTCTTTCCTTATGCTAGTGAGTGTGATAAACTTCATGAACTGACCCAGGACGGACGGGTTTAACTTGTGAGTTTTAGAAGTATCAGTGGAAAGGGACCTTGTAGAACATGTTTCCTTTTAAATTGCATACATGCTATACCGCGAAGGGAATAAATTCCATAGCTTTCTAGTTTTGGGGCCTGAATCTGTACTTCTGGGAAGTCTCTAGGAAAGCCATATTTGTTGTGGACTCCTAGTTATCCTGGTTAGGCCTGTTGTCTATGGCTTTTGGTGGTGTTCTTTCTTTACATCTTTAAACTTGTTCTGATTTTCTTAAATGAAGTACAAATATGCTAGAACAGCTTATCTTGGCTCGTAAGCAGTGCAGAAATTAGAGGTCATTTGTGTTGACTTCTGCTTAGATTTTCATGGTCTAAAAGCCCAGCTCAATCACATTTGTGTCTCTGCAGTGGGACCATGAAAAGAAATGAGGTGTCACCAAGTCCTCCCTCAGAGGAGAGCAGCGTATTGGACCTACCCTCTGTTTGTGACCTAGGAGAGCGCTTTCTGCCTCCATACAGTTCTGAAAACAGCGAGGAGCTTTTTCACTCCATGGATACTTTTCCCTCTCTGCCCACAGGTAACAGCTTCTGCCTCTCTACATGCTCTTTCTTAGCCAGTGCATAATCTGTTTATGCAGTGCATCATTTGAATAACTGCAGTCTGATACTGATACATCTGCCTGTCTTAAAACACAGTTTGCCAGATCTGCTCTGTTACAGCGTGACAGATTCAGTGTGAACTGTGAGCTGATGAGACACAGGAGAGGAGTTTAGAGGATACTGTCAGCTGCTAACGGTTTGACAACATTGTTTCTTCATATTTAATATGTTCTCAGAGGAAGAGGGTTACTTGAACTAACCCACTGAGCAACCCTCCAGAAATCAGTAGGAAATACTGTCTCAAATTGCCATAGTCAGTAAGAAATGTTTTTAAACTTTTCCTTATGTTTTTTATGTGTCATCTTGTATCCAGGAATGAGCTCAGGATGTGGCCTCTGTAGCCCATTACTTTAATATTAACAGTGTAAATTAATGTTAACAGTGAATATTTGCTTGTGCTAATGAAATGAGTGTGAAGAGAACCACTTCAGTTCAACTCTTGGGAGATGGAAGTTTCCTCACTTGAAGGAGAACTTATTCCTGCAGAAACAGCATGTTAGGTCAGGCACTACTTCAGATTCTTAGGAGTAATGATGCGTCTGAGAAGATCAAGAGATAGCTGGCATGTTCTGATAACCCCACTCAGCCTAGTCAGTGTGAAAATACTGGCAAGAAGTGTGAAATCAAAATGCACTGGCCTAGTGACACTTCTTACCTTATATTCAAACTGGCTGGGATGAAGGTTATAGTGATTATATTTAATATTGTAAAGGGAAAAAAATCTGATCAGCAAATAACATGTGGAGGTGCTTTGTCAAGTCACCCAAGCAGGTGAAACATTATTGATGACATTTCTGGGGTTTTTTTGAGTCTTAAGTAGTGTAAAAGTAGAGGTTGGCTCCACTCCTTCCTCTAGCATTGAGGTGGTTTACTTTGGCCTAGTTCCAAGAAGTTAATTTGGAATTCAACAGGTGAGGTTTTTCAGTGGCAGTTCCATTACCTTGCATGCTAAACAGGTAAGCAGTGGCATCTACCAACTGATCTGGCCCTGTTGATGCTGACCAGTTGCCTGTACTTCACCTCTGGTTGTGGGGCGTCCAGAAATGCAATGAAATCTGCAAACAGTAGCTACTAGTGCTTATTTAGCTTTTCCTTGCAGCCCAGGAAGTCATGTGTGATGTTACTAATTATGCAAATCTTGTACTGTAACCTCTATTTTAAACCATGATACATGTCACATTCCATGATCCATACTGCATTAGTGGAATTGTGTATCTGGTTTGAGGTTTTGCTTTATTTGTTGTGCATAAGTGGTGAGCACCATGGTGCGGAATGTCCGGAGCAAGCCTTTTCTGCTGTTGTGTCAGAGAAGGATGTGGAGGTTTCTCTAACAGTGAGACAGGCTGGAAGGCATTTGTTTACACAGATTTCACAAGCCTTGTATCGCAGGTATGAAGGAATTATGGGAGCTGTGCAGCAGCTCCTGCAGTGTGTGTAGAGTGGCTTAGTTGCTCAGACACCATTTAGCATGGTTCACGGCAAATGGATTCAACTGCTTTCATGAATGGGATGCTGCAGGGGAGCTGCGTGGCCACTCAGCAGTCCTGAGGCTGGTCTGAGGGCATAGCAGCAACGACATGTGCAAAATAAAGATAGGCAGCTCTAAACTCAAATGGCAGCATTGGGCAAGTTTATGGTGCATATATGGAATATGTATGCTGACAGGTCCTGCCTCCTTGATGACTCCAGCAGCCCCTGGTGTCCGTGGGGATTCCAGGTGCTGAGAAGGGCAGATAAGGCCTATGGATCCTCTCCTTCATCACTTGTTTTAGAAACCCCTTGCAACTGAAACCACTTGGCAATAACTGTGGGATGTGCTCTGTAAAATGGTTCCTTACACTGTGCTCCTGGGAGTACAATAACCAAGTATCACACTGGACCTGACTGATACTCTGGACATCTGGGTTCCTTTCTCCTTTTAACTGTGTTAAACCGATATACATACTCAAACTCTTTTCTGATGCAGCTTCAGCTTTCTAAGCCATTGCGTTGGGTCATTGTGACGGAAGAGGCAGGAGGATGATTTTAAAAACAAATGTGCCAGATGTTCTTGGATCGAGCAAGTTCTGTCAAATGTATCTTGGGAAAGGAAGCTCCTTTGCTTATTTGTTTTCTCATAAGACATTGTAAACTGCTGCTGTGGCACAAGACAGGTAAGGAGAGTGAGAGTGGCTGTATCTTGCACCTCAGGTTATGACCAGATTACATCCTGGGGTTTGGGCAGGATGGATGATGAGTCTTCTCATCAAACTTGAAAGTGAGAATCTTCCTTAGTGAGTCACAAGCATTTTCAAAAGGCCGTTAAGTCTTTGGGAATGTGACAACTTCCTTAGGAGAGAAGTAGACTGTCAGGACAGGCTCTGTTTTCTGACATCTGCCACAAGAACTGGACTGACACTGAGTAAAATATCATGCCCTCTGAGCCTCAGGAGTCAGAAATGAATATGGGAGGTATTCCTAGTGCCTGAGTCACTAGTAATAGGTCTTACTATTCTAGAGAGGCTCCATCACTTGTAATAGCGGAAGATAGTACCCATTGGCCATGAAAACAGGGCCTTCTGAAAGCAGTCATCCCTAGGCAAGAAAACAGTAGTCCTGTGGAACTACTACTAGTAGTAGTGTGGGTTTTATGTAAGTTATGTGTGAGTGGTTTTATGATTTGTGCAGGAGTGAGGGTATTGCTCTTGCAACAAACATTCATACTTCTAGCTTATTGTCATAGTGAATATGAGCGTTTAAATGGTGATAGACTGAGAAAATTGCACGGGATCAGTGAACCTTTCAGCATGCTTCCTGTTTTTTTTTTGTTTTTTTTTTTTTGTTTATTTGACCCCAAACTGGAAAATAATAATAATTAAAAAATCATTTACAGTGTTTATAATCTGTGTCGGTTGCACAATGCTGCAGCAGCACCTCACTGCCGCCTCTGGATTAAGAAAAGTTGCCAGCAAAACTTGGCAGCGCTCAGGTATTTGTGGGGGAAGGCTGAAGTTATTTGGATTGATATTTGAAAGGTTGTTCCCAGTGAAATAAATCACTGGCAATGTTCCTTTTGCTTTTAGGGCACTGAGCCAGAGCACACCAGGGACAGTGGAAACATGGTATTTGCCTGGAAAAATTGCAGCCTGAAAAGGGTTAGAGAACAGACTACAGATGTGCTCTACAGATTCGTGTAGGCAAGGTCCTTGCCTCTGCCCATGCTCCATGGTCTGACAGAGCTGGGTTTTGCCAGCATAGCCTGGAGTGATTCTACCAAGTTTGGAGGCAGTGTTTGAGAGCTCAGCTATGGTACCAGTGCTTTGGAGACTGCCTGTCTGAAGCATGGTCAGAGCTCAGCCTCATCTGCCTCTGGCCTTTCCCTGGGGCTAGCAATGGCATGGGTATTCTTGTTTTTCCTGTAGCTTCTTCCTTAATTGCTTTTTCTTTGTAATGAAAAGTAGTTAAAAAGCTGTGTCCTTAGGAGAATGGATGTTCCTAGTGCTTGGTGGAAGAGGAAGGTACATGGGAAATAAGAGTGTCACAGGAATAGAGGAAATGAAGGATGGCAGTAGGAAAGGAAAAATGGTCCTGGAGAGATGTGGTGAAGGAAGAGTTTACTGTGTGATTGGATAGGCATGTGTATAGCTAAAAGCTGGCTAGCTTTAAAGAAAAAACAAACAAAAAACTAAAAGCCAGTTTGGGAGTATTGGGGGTGTTCAACCTTTAGTTGCTTCTCCAAAAGCACTACTTACGTTCCTGCAGTTTACTTCAGGTTTGAGCCCAGGCATACCTTTGGTTATTTTTCATGGACTGCCCTGACCTCTCTAATGCAGTGAGAGTCTCAGGCTGCCCCTTCTTATTCCAGCTCCGTTCTTGGTGCTGGTACTCAGGTGGCCACATGAAGAGTCAGCTCAGGCAATTGGGCCAGCTTGCTGGGCAGCCACAGGAATGTGGCTGAGATGGGGACAGCTGCTCTTTGTGGCAGCAACACAGGTATATGCCAAGATACAACAGCTTACAGTGTGTCCTGTCTTTCACAGGGGTCAACAGTCTTTCCAGAATGGTGGTTTCTGGAAAAAGTAGTGTTAAGAGTATCGAGTGCTTTTCCTGTGTGGGGAACCAGGCTGTAGGTTCTTTTTGATCAGGTTTTTTTTTTTAAGCTTCTTTCAGAAACTGTCTGGATCGAGTCATGAGAGCTTGGGGGAAATGGAGCAGAACCATTCACTGAAGACTTGCTGGCTCCAGGCAAGTCAGGGAGTTTGGATCAGCAGCACTGCTACTGAAACTGCCACTCAAATCAAGAGGACATCTGATCACAAATGACCCCAGTTTAAAAGTAAAAGCCATCATGATTTTTTGATTGTTCCAGTCTCTTTCTGAGTTTTCAGTCAACCAAGCATATATGTTAAACAAAGCAGAGATTGCCAACACGTTCACACAGCTGTTGGCTCTGTAGGTAGTTGGGACTCCTGAAAAAAACAAATGCTACACATACCCCGTGAACCTACATGCCTTGTTTTGCAGTGGGTTGCTATGTCTTTTATTAGCAGCTGAGGAGTCATGTTAATGGTAGTGCATGTGTTCTGGCTTGTCCTTAAATGCTCTCTTCTGTTACCATGTCCACTTGCCTGTTGCTTAATCTCTTTTGCAGAAGTGGGTTGTGTTTACTGAAGAAGTCTGGCATGGTTTGTGCTTTTTCTCCATGAGAGTTGTGCAGAAGTGCTGACGTAGAAGCCGAAAATGAAAGGAGCAGGCTGTACTTGTCATGTCAGCAGCAACCTTTCAGAGCTGGCTCTTGATGGGTTCTTGGGGATTCAGTTCAGCCCAGAACTCAGTGTATTCATTCATTACTTGGTATAGAAATTATAGGTTGGCTGTTTGAACTACCACTACTATCAAAAGTTGCAGAATTTACAGTGTTGTTTTTTGTCTGGTCATG